AAAGAGACCCAGAATTCTATGTAGGATAAGGAATGTGTACTTGGAAAAAGTCCCCAGGTGATCTGGATATACACTTTTTGTCTGCAAACATCAAGTTGAGAATCAACTAAGTACTGGAACAGACTGTCCCTCAGGGGAGTATTCACAGTAAGATGAGAACATGACAGATTACTCAGCTTCTATACAAAGGTAAGGGAAGAATATTTACCTAGAGAGGTGACAGTCTCATAGTTTTCCTGCATTACATCATTGTAGAGAGTCTTCTGACTGATATCCAGTAATTCCCATTCTTCTTGGGAAAAAAACACGGCCACCTCTTCAAATGTCAATAAGCTCTAAAGAAGAGAATGGGCTTCAGCTCAGTACCTGCCACTCCAGAAGTAGTCCTAATATCTGGCCCATGAAATTAATAGTAAGCAAGGCACTGAAGGAATTAATTTTTTTAAGTGAGAAGGCAGAAAGGAAGGAGGCAAGGGATCAGCAGTCTGGGAGGTGTCTAGTTTCCTAGGGAGAACATCTGGGGTAACATGCCTCTGAGCACCTCCTGGGCAGTGTGGGTCATGGGCAGCAGGGAAAGGCAGCCCTGAAGAGCTCAAAAGCATAGCTCACCTGGGACTCAGGCAAGATGAGCTCAGGTGCCACTGTCCAGTCTTTGGTGTTTGTCTGCTCAGGAAAGTATAGGATCTGGTGGGTAGGCACAGCTGTGGATGGAAAAGAGCCATAGGAAATTTCTCTTGCTTCTTTGAACATCCTGGGCACATTTCTAAAATATACAAGATCTGATTCTTTCAGTAGAAATGGGACTCGTTTACAAGTGTTATGTGGTACCTAGAAGTGGCTATCAGCCCTACAACCAGTTTCCAAACTGACTGTCTTCAGTTTTCATGACTGAAGTCAATAAAAGGAAGTCTCACTTTTTCCCTACTATACCTAAATTATTCTGAGTTGGACAAAAATTAGAGGTGTCTGAAAAAGTAGGAGAGAGTCCAGGGTGTCAGGTAAAGGAAGTAGGAAGGTAAAAATGAGCATAGCAAGTTAAGGAAACAGCAAGAAGACTAGTGTGGCTAAAGTGGATGGAGCCAGGATACAAGTGGCAGATAGGTGAGTAGGAGCTAGATCTTGGAGGGGTCTACATACCTCATAAGGAGTTTAGATATTATTCTGAATGTGAAAAGTTATCGTAAGGTTTTGAAGCAGAGAACTGTCATATCATCAGTTTTTTGTTTTTTTTTAATATATTTTATTGATTTTTTACAGAGAGGAAGGGAGAGAGATAGAGAGTTAGAAACATCGATGAGAGAGAAACATCAATCAGCTGCCTCCTGCACATCTCCTACTGGGGATATGCCCGCAACCCAGGTACGTGCCCTTGACCGGAATCGAACCTGGGACCTTTCAGTCCGCAGGCCGACGCTCTATCCACTGAGCCAAACCGGTTTCGGCTCATCAGTTTTTTTAAAGACTCTGACTGCTTTGTGGAAAACAGACTATGGGAAGGTAAGAGTGGTGTCAGGGCACCAGTTACAAAGCTGGTTAGAGAAGCCACTGGCTTAGACCAGAATGCTAACAGGGCAGGAGAATGAGACATGGTTGGACTCAGGCTATGATGCAAAGGTGGAGCCAAGAGGACTAGTGATACATGAGTAGTGGATTATGAATGGCAAGTTCATACTAAAGCAAGCATGTCAAACTCGCGGCCAATAGGCTGCATGCCTCATTTATGGCACATGGCCCACCAGCCGCGAGTTTGACATATGGGTGGCATTTATGGAAATGGAAAGATAAAAGAGCAGATTTGTAAGCAAAAGTGAAGAGTAGGGAGAGTAGAGAATTTTAGGATAAGGAATGAGCATTTGCGCTTTGTAAAAGTTTGAGATGATCTGGATACACTTTTCTCTGCCCACACCATCAAGTTGAGAAACAACTAGCTACTGGAACCAGGGTGCATTCCCAGTAAGCTAAGAACATTAGATTACTCTACTTCTACACAAAGGGCAGAAAGAATCTTTACCTAGAGAGATGACAGTCTCATAGTTTTCCTGCATTACATCATTGTAGAGAGTCTTCTGACTGATATCCAGTAATTCCCATTCTTCCTGGGAAAAATACACGGCCACTTCTTCAAATGTCAATAAGCTCTAAAGAAGAGAATGGGCTTTAGCTCAGTACTGGCCACTCCAGAAGCAGCCCTAACATCCAGCCCACAAACTGCATGGTAGGCCAGGCACTGAAGGAATAAACAATACATGATTTTTTTTTAAAGTGAAAAGGCAGAAAGGAAGGAGGCAAGGGATCAGCAAACAGTCTGGGAGGTGTGCAATTACCCAGGGAGAATATCTAGGCTAAATGCCTCTAAACACCTGCTGGGCAGGATGGGTCATGGGGAGCAGGGAAAGGCAGCCCTGAAGAGCTCAAAAGCACAGCTCACCTGGGACTCAGGCAAGATGAGCTCAGGTGCCACTGTCCAGTCTTTGGTGTTTGTCTGCTCAGGAAAGTCTAGGATCTGGTGGGCAGGCACAGCTATGGGTGGAAAAGAGCCATCAGAAATTTCTCTCACTTCTATGCACATCCTGCGCTCATTTCTAAAATAAAGAAAATCTTGATTCTTTCAGTAGATGAGAAACCGTTATAAGTGTGAAATGGCCTTATCATTGTAAGAACCAAGTATCTATCAATCCCCAGAACAGACTGCCCAGTTTTCATGAGTGAAATGAATAAAACAAAAACCATTAACTTCCTCTCATGACATAAATAGTTCCGAGTTAAGAAAATTTTAACGGATTTGAAAATGAAATACTCATGGACTCCAGTGTACAGTAGGAGATATATTATTTATCATTTATTTATTTCCATGGTACACAATTATAGTTCACATACTGCCACTGACAGCCCATTTGTGATCCCAATTCCTTCTGTGATTTGAGGATGGGGTGCCCCAATCCTCCACTTTGCTAAGGAACAGTGTTCATGGTGTTATTACCAGGGTCCTCTGGTTTGGATATTTCTGTACCTTAGGCCAATCCCCACCTTCACAACAGCTGGTCTATTCTAAGGCCATCTGTGAGGGGTGAGGGTAAGGGTAATCATAATTGCTAACATGACTACATTTGCACATCCACAAAGCTGGGAACCCAGAAAGTACTCACAATGTTCTGGCTGGACAAATTACTATGACAGTTCCCAGCAGAAAGAAATTATCATGAAGCTCCTTACCCCTCTCACACATAGGCTCAGTTTCTTTATGAGTATTCCTGCTCAGCTGTTGTAGATCCTGATATTCATTCCAAAATTCTTCGTCCTGGGACCTGCCCACTGGCTGGGACTCTGCTGGCTTCAGTTTGAAGCCTGAGGTCTCTGCTGTTTCTCCCAAGAGCACTGCCTCCTTTCCCAGCACATGGACTGCAACCTGGAAATAATTCCCATCCATGTTACCAGAATTACTTGAGGCTTGGGGCTTGTGGAAGAGGGAGGAGAAAGCAGAGTCCAGATTGTGGTATAAGACACTAAAGGAAATGACAAAAAGACTTAAGGAAATAATGGGCTAGGTGGCATGGCTCAGTGGTTGAGCGTCAGCCTATGAACCAGGAGGTCACAGTTAATTCCCTGTCAGGGCACATGCCCAGGTTGTGGGCTCGATCCACAGTAAGGGGCATGCAGGAGGCAGCTGATCAATGATTCTCTCACATTACTGATGTTGCTCTCTCTCTCCCTCCCTCTTCCTCTCTGGTATCAATAAAAAAATATATTTTTTAAAACTTAAAAAAAAAAAAGACATAATGGGCCATCAATTTTTCACGAAGAGCTATCTAGCTGGTCTTGCTCAGTGGATAGAGCGTCGGACTGCAGACCTAAGGGTCTTGAGTTTGATGACAGTCAAGAGCACATATCTTGGTTGCAGGCTCCTCCCCGGCCCTGGTCAGGGAGTGTGCAGGAGGCAACCAATAGACATGTTTCTCTCATGTCAATATTTCTATCTTTCCCTCTCTTTTCCACTCTCTTAAAAAAAATCAATGGAAAAATATCCTTGGGTGAGGATTAAAAAAACCAAAACTATCCACAAATGTGGGAAAGTCAGGATAAAAGGAAAAAGATGTGGCTACTGTCAGCCCTCCAAAAGAGTACTCCCTACTCCTCAATATATAGCCCAGCTCAGACCACTAGCAGGGTTGTGCAGGCCACCTAGTCCCATGCTGTCTTGACAGCATCTCTCTCTTCACTTAGATCCCTGCTGGATTTCTTGTCTTAATACTTTCTTCAAAATATTAAAAAAATTTACTGTCCAAGATTTTTTCCATGGCCAGGAAAGGTTTTACAAAGAATGTGGATAAAATGGAGAAGGAAGGGGAAAGAATGATTCTGACTGCAACCTCTCTCCAGATGATCTTGACACCAAACATATGCCCTGCCCTGTACTCTTGACAGTAGGCCTGAAGCCAGTTGATATGATTCCCACTCACCAGCAGAGCCAAGGACCAACCACTAAGGGAGGGCAGTGGAGGCTCTTGTCTATTGTAGGAAGGACACTATCTCTGTCTTTCTTCTCTGTCACTCCGTTGGGATTTCCAAATCTGTTTCCATTTTTTTAAATTTATCCTTTCTTCCTCTGCAGTCTTCCCTACTAACTTTTTGGTTTCTCTTTCTTTTTACTATCCTTTCCTTTCATCTTTATATGTTCTCCCTTTTTTGGATCTACCCCTTCTTCTCCAATTTCTTGTTGCCCTTTGTTTCTTAGAACTTAAGACCCATCTCCTACACCAAGCCAGACTCAATATATTCTGGCTCCAAAGAGGGGAAAATGCAATTCTCTCTTATGGCCAAGGAAGTCTCTGCCAGAATCTCCAACACCTGTGGAATGACTATTGCTGCAGATCAGTGGTTTCAGGTCCTGCCTTAGATGGCCTAAAGCAACAAGAGATCATTGATCTAATTCATCTTACTTCTCAGTTAACTGCCCCTAACCCCATTTATCTATTTTCATTCTATATCACTGTTATGTTAATCAGGAATCTTCTCACCCCAGTCTTCGTTTGACCAGATTCACTCTGCAAGTGGTCTACCAAGGCCACAGCCTCTTCAATGCTTTGTAGGTGGTGCTTCTTTATCTGGGTTTGAGTATCCCTGGGCAGAATGTTCAGGAACTGTTCTAGCACCAGCAGATCCAAGATTTCTTCTTTTGAGTGTATGTCTGGCCTCAGCCACTGATGGCATAATTCCTGAAGTTGGCCAACAGCCACACGGGGTCCAGCTGCTTCATGATAGTGGAAATTCCGGAAGTGTTGGCGAAAGCTCTCAGGACTGAGACTGTCCATTTGTGCAGTATATTTTTCACTCTGAGAGGAGCTCTCTGTCACAGGTCCCTTGGTCTCCCACAGAGCCCTGATCTGAGGGTTCAAGTACTCAGCCACTTTCAGATCTACCATCATCATTCTGCTGGAACAGCTGTTCCTGTGGGCACACCACCAGTACCACCTCTGACAACTAAGGCCCAGTCTGGTCTGGAATAAAATCAATAAAAGGATCTTCTTCCTAAGGCACCAAGGACAGAAAAAAAGCAGGTCAATAAGAAAATCACATGAACTTTACTACCTGCTACTTATTGTGAGAGAAAAATGAAAATATCCTGCTTGCCTTCTCTTTAAAATCAACTGCCAGGCAGGCCCTTGGTTTCTCTCCTTTTCTTTATATTATTCAGTTGATCTATAAGACAGCTCATTAAAGACAAATGTCAATTGATGACTCTGCCTTTACAAAAAAATAATAAATCAGTGAAAACTGGTGGGTGAGAAAATTGGCACCCAATGACTCCAAAGAGTTTGGGGATTATCCAAAGAGTTCACTGATGTGCTTCCTATCACGTAAAAAAAAAATTATGAAAACATTCTGAGTTTCTCTCAAATTTTAATATATCTCCTAGCCTTCTGCTTTTAATAAGAGGTACAACTTCTATGACTCTCCATCCCCTTGTGATGAATGAAGCCTTCACTTCGTGGAACATTTGAGACTATCCTTTACTTGCATGAATACTGGCAGCAGACAGACAGTGCGACCAGAGTTGAAGGAACATAATTAGGGAAAAAGTCGCCTTTTCTTCTCAGAAAGCATCCCCCAATTAAGTAACTGAGATGCTCAACATTCTTTTTTGGCCCTTCTTTGCAAGACCTATTAAGGGCACTACGCAGAAGATTTATACCTGTATTTTAAAATGTCTGTTTACTTCCACTAGGAAGAATCACAGCCGACCTTTCTTTACAAAATGTATATCCAAATACCAAGTCGTAAAAAGGGGGAGGGCAGTTGGTGATGCTTAAGCTGACCCTTCCTCTGGCTTTACGTTTCGAGGGTCTTTTAAGACTTCTAAGGAGCCTAGGGGGAGCTTCACAAGCCTCCGTCTCCCTGGGTGATGCAGCAGAACCCGCCCCGAGCTTCTGTGCAGGAACGTAGACATTCTGAGGGCATTCGGGATTCATGAGCCCTGCGCCAGCGGGCAGCGTACGAGCGTGCCGCCGCCGCGGGCCCCCGGAGTTAGGGAGTTAGCAGCGCAAAGGGCAGGAAGAGCGACCTCCGGAGCCTGACAGCCGGCCTCGCCCGAGACAGGCTCTCGTCGCTGGGCTCCCGGTAATAGCGTCTCGCCTCCAACCACCTTGCAGTGGCCTCGAGCAGAGGCCGGTAGGTCTCTGAGGCTCCGCAGCGGACGCCGAAGGGGAATCGATTCTTAGTTACCTCAGACAGCTGCGTTTCGTGAGGGCCGCTCCCTCATCCTCCGACTCTACCGCAAGTCGCCGCACTTCCGGCGGCTTCTCCAGGACCGCAGCTATCGGCTTCTCGACACCCAGAGGGGGTCCAGAGAACCGAGATGTGCGGATGCAAGGTCACAGGCCTAACAGGCCCGACGGACGTACCGGACGCCTCGCCCGCCTGGGGCCTTCTCTACGCAACTGTCTGAAACCCGCGCTCCTACCGGAAGCGGAAGTGGTGCCCTTCCCGACTGGCTCTGCCGCTCAGCTGAGTCAGCCGGCCTGCGCACGGGCTCCAGGCTTCGCGGAAGGAACCTACCTAGTCCGGTAGGGTTCAGCCCTTGCGCCCGGAAGAGTTAATGCTACAGAGTCTCCAGGTTGTGGAGCCTAGAAGGACCCTGCGCGCAGCTCGGCCCGTGGGAGTCGCGGTCTCGCGGCCTGGCTCTGAGGCGGTGAGCGTCGGGGTGGTTCCTAAGTCCGCTCAGGAGGCCTGCGGCCGAGTTACCGGGAGCCCCGCAGGGTAAAGGTCGCCGCCCGCTAGTCTCGCAGGGCCCTCGGCCTTACTGGCCCAGCTGGCCGCACCCGAGCTTTCGTCCCCAGCACATCACCGCCTCGAGAAGGAAGGCTTTTTGTTCCGTTCAGGATCAGCGGACCTGAGGTTACCCCGTTTGAGGCTGTGCATCTCACAATTGTTTTTTCTTGTGAGGTATGTGGAATAGGTTACATTTATAGTTCTCCATGACAGAGAAATTGAGAGCTAAGAGGTGACTTGCGAGGGTCACATAACTTACCATTGGCCGCTCCTAGACTGTAATTTAGTTTCCCTGTTGTCCTTTTTCAGGACAGTGTGCTTCCTGTAGAATGGGAACCTTCTTTTTATCGTGTATTTCCTTCAGTGTCTGGCCGAAATATCTGATTAAGATGTGCATTCCACAAATATTTACTAAATCATATTCAAAGGAATCTGAGTATTTCGTTTTGGTTTTGTTCTAATTACTAGTGTTTTCATAGTACCAGCCTCTAGCAGTCAAGGAATTATTTAAGTCTACCAGGTGTAGTCAGTGTTACAAACTTCATAGAACAATGTATTTTAATCAAGGAATCTGGCAGAAGTACTCAGGCAATTTCATGAATATCAGTATCACAGGGTAGGAAAAGGGAGGACTTTAGCTGAACGCTGCAGAAATTCCAAGGAAATGACGTTGAATTTTGGTTGGGGAAAATTATAAGGTACCGATTTTCAGCCAATGTGCTGCAAGAATTTTAAAAACATTCAATACCTGACTGTTTAGTCAGGGGCACTGACCTGTTTTCCCTTACATTGTCAAATAAAAAAAAAAATGACAGCATCCAACACAATAGCTGTCCAATGTGAATGAATCATAATTCATTCTCCATGACAGAAATATTTTTGCCAGATTAGCAAAAAATATAATACATTTTTTGGTGTGCTGTAGGAATTTAGTGATTACTTATGTGTGCTGTGAGATTAAAAAGGTTGAAAATAAGGGGGGGGGGTAACATAAAAGCATAGCCTTGAAAAGCCAGAGAGAGTAGTGTGTGAAATTTTTAGTATTTTTACTAAGTGTAACT